TGTGTGTGTGTGTGTGTGTGTGTGTGTGTGTGTGTGTGTGTGTGTGTTCAGGCGGCCCACCAGCAGAGGAAGGAACCTGCAAACGCGCCCAACCGTCCAGCACCGTGTACATCAAATTCTACAACACACACTCCACAGGGCCGATATAGTTGCTGTATGCGAAGGGTTTGAGTTTGCTAATGTGAGGCCTGATCCTTCTCTCCTCGTAGCCCACAGTGCTCCAGGTACACCGGCTCCACTGAAACACGGACCTTGTTTCCTACCAACATACGGAACAATACAGTGAATCCTAACTCCGGCAATAAAAGCTCTTACAGCTCGTGTAAACTAAACTGCATGTAGACACTTTGTCTCTGCACACTGAGTTCTTCTTCACTCGCAAGGTTGTTGTTTTTTCTGTGTACATGCACTAGTACTTTTAGAATTACATGAACCATAATGTTTTAACCTGCACCAAAAAACAAAGGTTTTACTGCAGCATTTGGTGTATTTGTCCGTCTTTGTTGGTACTTCCACCATGGCCGAAAAAAAATCCAACACTGATCCTTTTTATGAGTTCAGATATGAGGAAATGCTGACTTCCCTTTAGTTAACTGTAGAGTAAAATAACTTCATATTTGACTGAAAGAAAACATTGAACACCCAATAGACCAAAGTACAGTGAAACTACGTCACGTAGTTTATGATCATCGGAACATTTTGAGAAGAAAAGCATTGTGCTTTACGGAAACGTTTGTTTTTTAAAATCATAAAAGATTTTATTTGGTGATGTCATATATTCAACAAGACTTATTGAATATATGATGATGTGTAATACATAACTGTTACGTGCACTAGCGTGCGCATGCACGTGGTGTCTGGAGCCCTGTGTCACTGTGCATGAGCTAAGCTGCCCTCCTCCGCCTACTGTGCCTGTCAAACAGCACTGGCGCTGCAGCTAACAACTGATTCCATCATTGATCAACCTGTTGATTATGTTCTCAGTAAAACGGCCGTTACAATTTCCTAGAGTGGACGTCACCAGGTGTCTTGTGATTTTTGAACGGACTACAACACAAAAATATCCAATGTCCTTTCATGTAAAAACAAACAAAAGAAGACAAGTCCTCCCATTGTGAGCGACTGGAATCATCAATCAATGACCACGCTGTTCTTGAAGTTTCACTCCAACGATTAATCAATTACCAAAGTAATTTCTGATTAACTTTGTGTATCGATTAATAACCAAATTCATTTTAAAACGATGGGTTTATTGATTTTCAGACAGAAGCAGCTTCTCAGTTTTAGCTGGCGAGTGTTGATTTCACTGAAGGGACAACTTTGTTTTGGGGGGAGAATACATCAGCTGTAGCTGATTAACGCTGACTTTGTGAGTTAGTTAGACATTGTATCGCTGGCTGACTGTTTGATGTTTCAGGGTGGGGAGAGCATTCTCCTTTTAACACCCCGTGTAGCGGCTATATCATGTTGTACTATAGTGCAGCGCTACCTCACAGCCGTGTGGTCACCAGTACTACAGATCACCACTCTGTCATTCTGTGTTTGGCTTTCCTTCCAACCCACAGAGGTCAGACAACGCGAGTTTCCCTTAACTGCACCGTTAAACGTGCGTTAAAAAAAGGCCTTTGCTGACGTGGCTGTGTGATTAAAAACAGGACAAACACATATTGACTCATTCAACTTAGAAAATGATTAGACTTCTATCTTTGTAGCTTTAACAGGCAGCAAAGGGCAGGATAGTGAGGAACATCTGAGGCACTGGAGTGATGTAGTCCAACTTTTTTGTTTTGTTGCTCAGCGGGGAATAACAAGCAAATCAGTTTGTGATCCAACTTCCCGTTGGTGCTAAATAAGATCATCCTCTTTCACAAAGGGATGTGTTGCGGAGTGAGTTAACCAAAGAACTGCCACATGTGCAGACGTGGAGAGTAAGTCATGTAAACATGCACCGCCGAGAGGGAAGTAAAACCAGGATTTCATCATCTTCTTCTCCTTTCTGCCCTTTTCTCTCTGCCCGACAGACGGACGGGCAGTGGACGGACGGTTGTGCTAGTCAGCAGAGCGGCCCGTACACACTCTCATAAATTTCCCCCCGCAGTTCAGCCCCACGAAGCTAAAATTAATTAAAAAAAGGCTAGATCAATCTTTTGTCTATTGTCTTCCTGGCAGCAAAAGAGGGCCGGGGCGATTCCAAAAACGTCTTGGCTGGTTCAACGAGCTGACGGCGGGAGAAGTGCTTGCAAGAGAATGTTAATGCAGTGGATGCATATGAGCAGCACGGGGAGGTAGATGGGCGCAAAAGCTAAGCGCACAATGAAGACTTACACAGTCGGCTTGTTGTTTTAGGGAGGAAACAGCCACAATGGTCTTTGTTTTTCACAAACCCCTCAGTGTGTGCACATGTGTGTGTGTGCAGGCTGACCACCAGCGAGGTGCTGGAGTGTTGCCTCAGCAGCAGAACAGACCACAGTGAAAGGCACATTTCAACATTCAGCACTTTTTTTTTGGGGGGGGGGGGGGGGGGGGGGTCGCATTTTTCTCTTCAGTTTGTCTCGGTGGAAGAATACCGTGAGCAGAAGACCCTGCTTCCTGTAAACATGCCCCAACATACCGAAGAATCAGTTTAAAGCTGCGCGCGGTGCGTATTTGGCGCGTGTGTGTGTGTCAAATGGAATTTGCACTTTGGTGACGGCAGCTTTCTCCTCTCCTTTGTTCCTTCGGGCCCAGATAGCTGTGCGTAATGTCCCGAAGGCGTAATTAGAACAACGTCTACCTCAGTGCGTCTCTCCTGTCGGCCTCTAAAAACATGCCACACAAAAGATCTCTGCGCTGTCGGTGCTGCAGGCCCGGTTCTGCTGCTGTTTTGCTGTCGGCACACTCACTGTTCATTGACGGCACAGCCTGTACCTTCTGCTTGAGACCGTTTCATAAACACTTCAAAGTTCCTCGCAGTAACTTAAACAATTACAGCTTTGGCTTCTTCAGAGCTTTCTAAATTTCACATTCCG